ATTTTTTTCGGTATAACGGCGAATTTACCGTGCAGTTGTTGATTGCAAACCTGGAGTTATTGCAATGTTTATAGTCTTCTCTCCTTTGTCGCACTGAAAGGCACCGTTTCCCGTTCGATCACCGCACCTGGGCAGCGTCAAGACCAATCAGTACTTTTATGGCTAACGGCCTGGGAACACCGAGTGCTGTAAAGCAACTTTCTACAATCTTAAATACGTTTAGTCTTTCAATATGTCACGATTATGTTTGGTCGATTTGGTAAGGGGAAATGCCTATCTGTTCTTCCGAGATGTCAGAAGTTGTCCCAAGTGTCGCCTACATACTTAGACCTTTTAAGGAAAGTTCTCCAGCAAATAACGAAATATATTCGAGACAATATTCGTGTCTTCATTTCTTGGCTTTGCGTTTATCTTCATCTTTCTTGTGAGCGTCAATTTCCTGATCAGTTTCGACGCTGAACAATCTTCCTCCTTTTGTGCATTTGCGATGACTTATGTTTCTACCAGTTCTCTTTGTGGGGGAGGTTGAATGCGTAACATATTGAATAATATGTGTACTGTGTTGTCCGGTTATTATCATTACTATTATTATTATTATAGGAATAAATCAGAGCCAATGGATAACTTGCGACCAGTGCCTCCCAGAAAGGTGAAACCAGTTCAGAGTCGGTCAAGAAGAAGGTTCAAAGGTATTCGTTGCTATTAAAAATATCTTTTAGTTTTCCGATTGTTGAATTCATTCTTTGTCTTGGTCGTCAAAGAACTATTATGACTGATACTAATATATTTCTTAATGCGATTTACTAAGCGTAACTTAGATGTAAGACTAAAAGTATGGAGCATACAGTGAGGATCGAACTCACTATTCTGTCATAACTGATCTAGCGAGACAAGATTGCTACCTATTACACCACGTAGAAGTACCCCAATAAAACTTTCCAAGTTAGTAATCAGGAGGGTGACAAACGCGTGTGTGTGTGCGTGTGTGCGTGTGTGCGTGCGTGCGTGTGTGAAAATTCTGTTACTAAGGGGAAAGATATCACCATGCTCGGGAACAGGGTCCCGTGGGTGGTGTTGCCACTGTATCTTGCTTGGGGGGGGAAGAGAGGTAAGAGAATGGTGACAAGAAGTGTCCCGTTTTTATAAATGCCTTACAACGCCCTCTAACGAGTTTTTAGGGACACTGGGACGGGCTGTGTGGGAACAACCCACAATTATTATTAGTTTTTGTTTTTTTTTTGTTTTTTTTTTTTCGTTCTATACCCCTTAGTTTCGCAATATATATTGCAAATAATCAAATCAGTAATAAATACTGACTGGCTAGGGTAAGCTTACTCGATGGCAAGTGGGAACCTGATATATTGGGCCCCCTATATCAAATAAAAATCCAATAAAGAAACAAACACAAGCAATTGTTTTAGTAATAAAAAGCCGTAACTTTAGAAAGTCGTCTGCAATTACTCAAGTCCAATGTGAGAGGACGTTTTCAAAGTAAATGATTATAAAGGTTAAGAAATACGCTGTCTGAGGAGAATTTTGAATCATCCATTGAAAAGGAATTGTTAGATGAATTGGATGCAGAAGTAATTATTGGATAAAAAAATAAAGTAAAAATACCTAACCTATCATTTAATCTTCAAATCTCTCATCTGCTTGCCAAATCATTACACTGGTTTAATGAATTGATTCTGCTTCCATAACAAAAATATCTAATAAATAAAAAATATTAATGAAGTACAAACAAGTCAAGTATATGATGTCATATTCAAACTGAAGAGTCAAATTTCATTTGGAATATAATCTATGTGATTGACTTGACTGTTGGAATTATATAAGGAAAAGTTTATTTATCAGAGCAATAATATCAAACTGACACCAGTGGAAGACTGGCCAAGGTGTCAGCTTGCTTGATGGTGAATGGGCCCTCTATATCAAATACAATAAAGAAACAAACACAGACAAATGTTTTAGTAATAAAATGGAATAAAAATTTTATAAAGTCATCTGCATACTATCAGTTACTCACATCCAATGTGAGAGGACATTTTCAAAGCTAAAGATCATAAAGACAAGGTTAAGAAATTCATTCCCTGGGGAGAATTTGAAATTATACACGTTTCTATCCATTGAAAAGGAATTGTTAGATGAATTGGATGTAGAAGCAATTATTGGCAGATTTGCGCAATCATCGAGTGGACACAAATGATTGCTCTTAATATAGTGGACTGGGTACAATACTATATTGTACTTTTGAACTATATGTTAACTGTAAATCGTGTATAAATTATTTAAAACCATCAACTAATAACTTAAAATAAAGCGTCCTGGGTAAGACGATAAACTACATCCGACAGCAAGGCCTTTGATCAGAAGGTTTTGAGGAGCGTGGAAGCAACTCTTAATCGCTGGTATTGCCAGGTATACCCTGACACGGGGTGGTAGCACCTGTCAGGGTCCCAGATATGGGCAAATAGTTACACGCACAAAAGGATTCAAAACACTATGAAAGTATAAATTTTAATACCAGCAATACTTTTTTGGGAATTTTTTTTTTACCAGTAATACATTTTTGAAAGAAAAAAAATACCAGCAATAAATAACCAATT